CATATTCCAAGATGACAATGCCAGGATTCATCGGGCTCAAATTGTGAAAGACTGGTTCAGGGAGCATGAGACATCATTTTCACACATGGATTGGCCACCACAGAGTCCAGACCTTAACCCCATTGAGAATCTTTGGGATGTGCTGGAGAAGGCTTTGCGCAGCGGTCAGACTCTACCATCATCAATGCAAGATCTTGGTGAAAAATTAATGCAACACTGGATGGAAATAAATCTTGTGACATTGCAGAAGCTTATCAAAACAATGCCACAGCGAATGCGTGCCGTAATCAAAGCTAAAGGCGGTCCAATGAAATATTAGAGTGTATGACCTTTTTTTTTGGTGGTGACTTTTTTTTTGGCCAGGCAGTGTATTATGGCAATACTTTTTATATTACAGCATCATTTATTTACCTTTATATGAGATAATACACTGTGAACTTACGATGTCCCTCAGTAGCTGTCCTTACGAGCACCGGCTAAGGGACAGTTTGGGAAACACTCGTAGGAAAAGAAGTTCCTTAGCTAAGGTACATCGAAACTGGAAAGCCCTGAACGTTTACTCTACTTCCCTGGATCTTAACCTGTCTTTGTCTGTCTGTCTCTAACCTGTCTTTGTCTGTCCATCTGTTTGTCTCTAACCTGTCTCTGTCTGTTCATCTGTCTGTCTCTGTCTGTCCATCTGTCTGTCCGTCTGTCTGTCTCTAACCTGTCTCTGTTCCTGTCTGTCCTCAGGAGTGTGAGGACGGCTGGCACCACCTCAGTGAATTGGTCCTTTTCGCCCTGGCAATGGAGGAAACTCTGAAACACATCAACACTCACACAGGAAACAGTTTCCAGCTGCGAGCAGGTACCCAACAATCAAACAAACAAACAAACAAACAAACAAACCTAATACTATACATTTTACATGGTCACACTGTAAATCAACCTTCCCCCCGACCTCTGACATCATGTCCAGGTATTGCTCACGGCCCCGTCATCGCAGGTGTGATTGGTGCCACCAAACCTCAGTACGACATTTGGGGGACGACAGTAAATATGGCGAGCAGAATGGAGAGCACCGGGGTCAGTGGGAGGATACAGGTGAGGACACACCTGGACACACCTCGACACAACTGGCGGGACAGTGTGAATACATGACGATAGAACATTTATGATGTCTCCTCTTCTCCTCTGTCCCCCCGTCCTCCCCCTCAGGTACCGGAGTCGACCAGCTGTATCCTGGTGGAGCAGGGTTTCCTACGGCAGCTCAGAGGGAACATTTACGTGAAAGGCATCAGCGAACGTCACGGAAAGGTCAGACATGTTTTTATCATTAAAACAAAATGGCCGTCTTTTTAAGGTTAATAATTCCTACAGTTTAACGGAGCAGCCATGAGAGTTCCTCACAACGTGACACGTTAATTCTCTGGGCTGCGTTCAAACTGTTGGAGATGTTCACCGAAGTTTTCGTTAATAAGTTATGTTGTTTTTTATTTGCACATTAAAAATTATAATTTTTGCAAATGTTTATAAACAGTTGTTTATGTCTTCAGAACATGTAGCCTAGAAGGTTTACGACTCATAATGAGGACACAAACCAGAGTTGTCTTCCCTCCTGTCAGGTTCGTACGTATTTCGTGAGCAGTCAAGGCGAGCGTTCCAGTTACATGGAGCGTGGCGGTGGGCGGGGCTTCGCTCTGAACAGGAACACGCTGGGAGCCGTGGTTTACAGTCTGGTTCAGGCCCGCAAGAGGGAGAAACTGAGGGAGGAAAACGGAGGCTTTCACCTGGTGGAGGCGTCATAGAAACGACAGACACCGTCCAGGTGATGTCATGTTAGCATCAATTAGCCAATCAGAAGAGACTTCCTCTAATCATGGATGCATCGTCCTCTTAGGTCGGACATACGGTGGACGTGGACTCAAAACCAACGACCAAAAACCTCTGACACACTCAACATATACAGGAGTGTTTTTATTTGTTGTTCCATGGACTGACCAGCAGGTAGAGTTGTTTCACTGTGTGAACCATGTTTTTCTACTTTATATACCATCAGAGGACCTTTGTTTTAAAAAACAACAAGGACACGAAGGACAAAAGGGACAGAGAACACAGAGGACACAGAGGACAAACACGATTTGTCCACTACATGGAAAAAAAATAAGTTTTTATGTGTTGTTCCACGGACTGACCAGCGGGTGGAGCTATTTCACTGTGTGTATCATGTTTTTCTACTTAAGAACCATCAGAGGACCTTTGTTTTAAACAAGGACACAAAGGACAAAAGGGACACAGACGACACAGAGGACACAGGACACAAAGGACACAGAGGACACTGATGACACAGAGGACACAAAGGACACAGAGGACACAGAGGACACAAAGGACACTGCTGTTAAGTGAAGAAAATAGTTTTTTATATAAATGAACGAACATTTTAAAAATCTGGAAGAAAAACTGAAAATGTAAAATTTTTTAGCATCGACCTGCTGGGCGAGGGTTACAGCCAAACTGAACCTTTTATAGACTGAAGGTGTTGCTCTCTCTGGATGTGTTCACTGTCTCAACTGTTGTTTTTCCTGCAGCAGTATTTTTTATTAAAAACTGAACTGAATTTAACATTAGAAAATAAAAGTGATGAAAATGGTGGAATAGTTCTTTAATTCATGAGTTTCTGTAAAACTGATGTTTGTTTAATTATGTGGTTTATTTCAGCTTCAGCACCTGAACACATCCCGAATGTTTTCACTCATTTACAACAGTGCCACTGACATACATTTACATACAATTATTTTGTTTAAGTTCCAACAGTTACTCATAAATAATTTCATTTATTTTCAGTGTGAGGTTTTTAAAAAATCCTAAAATATTCGTTTCAAATGAACTTTTTAAATAATTGCTCAACATTCTTAAAATATTTAGATCAACTTTTACTGAGAGAACATTAATTTTTTTCAGTAGATAATACATAGAAAGTACATATAATATTAGTTGACTTAAAATCCTAAATTATCTGATATTTGCTGTATTTTAGTATCAAAGTAATTAATTACATTAAGTGCACTGAAGTCTTAAAAGTACAAGTGAATGCAATTTATAAAAAAAATCAAGCTTTCAGAATTTAGTTTGTTTCTTCTTAAAATGAAGCGTAATGTTACACTTCAAGAAAAATTAAGTCACAACTTAATTGATTTAAAGAACAAAATCAAGTTTTTCCTTCATTATTCTCATTCTGTCATTCATCCATCCATCCATATTTTGTTGGAAGTAACGAAGACATTTAGAGGAAATGTATCAGAGTAAAAGGGAAAGCTGACGGAAATATAAAAACTCAACTTAAATACAGATACTCCCATAAAATGCTTAAGTACTCTAAGAGAGTATTATTACTTTGTTACATTACAACACTGTCTACGTAAAAAGTTCTCTAAATAGCCTGTTTAGCAAATCACTGTGAATAAATGAAATCATTAAAATGAAAATGAAAATTTGAAAGACTATGACAGACTAAACTAATGTTGTAACAAACATGACAAATGTTTTAATCAAACTGTATTGAAAATATTTAGACAGCATTTTAAGGAGTTTTAGAAAACATAAAATTATCTGAGGGACCAAAAAAAGAAAATCAAAAAAATAAACGTTATAAAATCTGAGAATTTAAACATCTTTAAAGATTTAGAATACTAAACTCATTCAACAAAGTGTGATAGAGTGAATACAGTTTCACACATTGAATAAATACAGTTTCACAGAGTGAATAAATACAGTTTCACACAGTGAATAAATACAGTTTCACACAGTGGATAAATAAAGTTTCATACAGTGAATAAATACAGTTTCACACTGTGAATAAATACAGTTTCACACAGTGAATAAAAACAGTTTCACACTGAATAAATACAGTTTCACAGAGTGAATAAATGCAGTTTCACAGGGTGAATAAATACGGTTTCACACAGTGAATAAATGCAGTTTCATATAGTGAATAAATAAAGTTTCACACAGTGAATAAATATGGTTTCACACAGTCAATAAATACAGTTTCACACAGTGAATAAATACAGTTTCACACTGAATAAATACAGTTTTACACTAATAAACAGTGAATAAATAAAGTTTCACACACAGTGAATAAATAAAGTTTCACACAGTGAATAAATATAGTGTCATACAGTGAATAAGTACAGTGTCACACTGTGAATAAATAAAGTTTCACACAGTGAATAAATACAGTTTTGCACAGTGAATAAATAGAGTTTCACACTCTGAATACATAAAGTTTCATATAGTGAATAAATAGAGTTTCACACAGTGAATAAATACAGTTTTACACAGTGAAAAAATACAGTTTCACACAGTGAATGAATGCATGTTCATATAGTGAATAAATAAAGTTTCACACAGTGGTAATAAATAAAATTTTACACAGTGAATAAATGCAGTTTCATACAGTGAATAAATAAAGTTTCACACAGTGAGTAAATACAGTTTCACACTGAATAAATACAGTTTTACACTAATAAACAGTGAATAAATAAAGTTTCACACACAGTGAATAAATAAAGTTTCACACAGTGAGTAAATACAGTTTCACACAGTGAATAAATATAGTGTCATACAGTGAATAAGTACAGTGTCACACTGTGAATAAATAAAGTTTCACACAGTGAATAAATACAGTTTTGCACAGTGAATAAATAGAGTTTCACACTCTGAATACATAAAGTTTCATATAGTGAATAAATAGAGTTTCACACAGTGAATGAATACAGTTTCACACTGAATAAATACAGTTTTACACTGAATAAACAGTGAATAAATAGTTTCACACAGTGAATAAATAAAGTTTCACACAGTGAGTAAATACAGTTTCACACAGTGAATAAATATAGTGTCATACAGTGAATAAGTACAGTGTCACACTGTGAATAAATAAAGTTTCACACAGTGAATAAATACAGTTTTGCACAGTGAATAAATAGAGTTTCACACTCTGAATACATAAAGTTTCATATAGTGAATAAATAGAGTTTCACACAGTGAATGAATACAGTTTCACACTGAATAAATACAGTTTTACACTGAATAAACAGTGAATAAATAGTTTCACACAGTGAATAAATAAAGTTTCACACAGTGAGTAAATACAGTTTCACACAGTGAATAAATATAGTGTCATACAGTGAATAAGTACATTATCACACTGTGAATAAATAAAGTTTCACACAGTGAATAAATACAGTTTTGCACAGTGAATAAATAGAGTTTCACACTCTGAATACATACAGTTTCATATAATGAATAAATAGAGTTTCACACAGTGAATAAATAGTTTCATATAGTGAAAAAATGCAGTTTCACACAGTGAATAAATCAAGTTTCACACAGTGAATAAATACAGTTTTACACAGTGAAAAAATACAGTTTCACACAGTGAATAAATAAAGTTTCACACAGTGAGTAAATACAGTTTCACACAGTGAATAAATATAGTGTCATACAGTGAATAAGTACAGTATCACACTGTGAATAAATAAAGTTTCACACAGTGAATAAATACAGTTTTGCACAGTGAATAAATAGAGTTTCACACTCTGAATACATACAGTTTCATATAATGAATAAATAGAGTTTCACACAGTGAATAAATAGTTTCATATAGTGAAAAAATGCAGTTTCACACAGTGAATAAATCAAGTTTCACACAGTGAATAAATACAGTTTTACACAGTGAAAAAATACAGTTTCACACAGTGAATAAATCAAGTTTCACACAGTGAGTAAATACAGTTTCACACAGTGAATAAATATAGTGTCATACAGTGAATAAGTACAGTGTCACACTGTGAATAAATAAAGTTTCACACAGTGAATAAATATAGTGTCATACAGTGAATAAGTACAGTGTCACACTGTGAATAAATAAAGTTTCACACAGTGAATAAATACAGTTTTGCACAGTGAATGAATAGAGTTTCATACTCTGAATACATAAAGTTTCATATAGTGAATAAATAGAGTTTCACACAGTGAATAAATAGTTTCATATAGTGAATAAATGCAGTTTCACACTGTGAATAAATAAAGTTTCAAACAGTGAATAAATAAAGCTTCACACAGTGAATAAATGATGTTTCACACTGTGAATAAATAAAATTTCACACAGTGAATAAATACAGTTTTACACAGTGAAAAAATACAGTTTTACACAGTGAATAAATACAGTTTCACACTGTGAATAAATAAAGTTTCACACAGTGAATAAATACACTTTCATATAGTGAAAAAATCCAGTTTTACACAGTGAAAAAATCCAGTTTCATGTAGTGAATAAATAAAGTTTCACACAGTGAATAAATACACTTTCATATAGTGAAAAAATACAGTTTCACACAGTGAATAAGTAAAGTTTCACACTGTGAACAAATAATAAAAAGTAAAGCAGTCATAATGAGCCTTGTCAGTGTATGTCGAGAGGACCAGCAGTGTGTCGGTGTTTGTACACTAATAAATAACTTATGGTCAGTAACGTTATCTCGTTGTCAGCAGTTGTTGGTGATTTTTATTTTCTCACACTTAGTTTCACTTTTAGGCCTTTGGGGAAAAAAAGAAAAACATTCAATGAAAAAAACTGAACATGTTATAACGTAAAAACGTTTACATTATAATATAAAAACTTTAATGTTATAGTGTAAAAACTTTAACATACCTGAACATGTTATAACGTAAAAACTTTTACATTATAATGTAAAGACTTTAATGTTATAGTGTAAAAACTTTAACATTAAAACAATACCTGAACATGTTATAACGTAAAAACTTTTAACATTATAATGTAAAAACTTTAATGTTATAGTGTAAAAACTTTAACATTAAAACAATACCTGAACATGCTATAACGTAAAAACTTTTAACGTCATAATGTAAAAACTTTAATGTTATAGTGTAAAAACTTTAACATTAAAACAATACCTGAACATGTTATAACGTAAAACTTTTAACGTCATAATGTAAAAACTTTAGCATTAAAACAATAGCAGAACTTGTTATAATGAAAAAAAAAAATTAATATTATAGCGTTAAAACTACAACTTCGTCATGATGTGTGTGTGTGTGTGTGTGTGTGAGAGAGAGTTTGAATGTTTGCTAGATTAAAAGATCCAGGTGTGAAAATCAGGTAACTGAATCAAATATTAACCACAGAGGAGACGGACCATCGTCAGCTGTTTAAAGCAGAGACCTCCACATTGTCCTGTCTCTGAGTCTCTGAGTGTGTGTGTGTGTGTGTGTGTGTGTGTGAGTCTCTGCATGTGTGAGTCTCTGAGTGTGTGAGTCTCTGCATGTGTGAGTCTCTGAGTGTGTGAGTCTCTGCATGTGTGAGTCTCTGCATGTGTGAGTCTCTGAGTGTGTGAGTCGAATCGATCAGCTGCTGGAAATCGAATCACATGATGGAGTGTGTGTGACGCGTCACTAATGTGACGTTAAGGTCTGATAAACAGCAGAATGGCCCTTTAAGTTCAGAGCGCCAACAACAGGAAGCATGCGGCGTGAATATTCACTTGGTTTGTGTGTCCCTGAGTTTTACTGTCGTCCTCTGGGATACGTGGACATCTTATTGCTTCACCCAAACACCAGCTGACCCTTGACCTCCAGCCTGTGAATAATTAGCCTGAACAAAGCTGATCACGGTTTTATCTGGGGTCAAAGGTCACCTCCTGTAGGTCAGTGCTGATTATCACTCACAGTAAACTGTCCAGACCAAACCTCACTGATAAACTGACAGAAATAAACCAGTCTGAGTTTTATAGCTGTTCAACTGGTGTTTAATAAAAAATTCTTGGGTGACTTTAGAGCACCTGAACGCACCGTCACATTCAGCCTCTGTCAGGTTGGTGCATGACGGTGTGTTTTTGGGTGGAGGAGGGTCAGTTTGAGAAGAACACACCTCTGAGTGGAGGCTCCACCCTCTGAGCAGTGACAGTCCAGATCAGAACAGACGGACACCGAGAGGAGGACACAGAGTGCCATCAACAAGGACGAAATGAACGGGACCAAGGCCGATACCGAGACCCGGTCCGGGTCCACTTCTGATGAGCTCATCTTCTTCGTCAACGGGAGGAAGGTGAGAAAAAGTCTTCCTCAGTTTAAATGAGTGAAACTTTAAATGGAGTTCTGTGTAACGGTGACATTCCTGAGATGTTCATGGTGTCATATGGTGAATATTTACAGCACGAGGACAGATGACAGCATGATGTCTGATTTTATTTTTAATATTTAATAAACTGAGACTGAGACCAGATTTTATTCTTAATAAACTGTGGATCTATAATCAGTCAGATGTTTAATAATCAATGTAACCATGATCAAAGAGCTGATTATTGATAAAGTGAAATAATGAGAGAATGCAGAACTAAACATGAATGTCGACACGCTGATGGGAAAAATTCATCAGATCAAAAGAAACATTGAAGATAAATGTTGAAATAAAGTTTGATTACTATAAAGAATAAAGTGTTGATCAGAGATCAGCTGACAGCTCAGCGATGTTTGTTCACACATAAACACATTAAATATAATCATTAATAAAAACAGAGTTTTATTTAAATATTCAAATAAATGTGTAAAAATCAAACTGAAAAACATTTAAACTTTTCATTGGACCAAAAATACATTTAACCCTCTGAGGTTCAAACTGAGACGACAGGTGGTGGGAAAAAAAAAAACATAATTTAAAGACATTTTCAGAGAATGTTTTATACCATAAACCATCATTGTTAGAAATGGAAAATAAATTTAATATAATTTAATATAATACTCATGGAAAATATTCAAAAACATTAAAGTTTAAAATTAGTTCCATTAAACATTAACGTTAAAAATGACCTCAGTCAGTCATCTCGCTCTAAATTATGCTTGTGCGTGATGAGGCAATTCACTTCAACACAGCAGGCCACACAAGACAAAGTTAAACAAAGAACTTCTTGTCATTGCAGAGAACAATGAAATTGCGTTGGAGCAGTCCTCCAGTTGCCCAAGTTATAAATAAAAATTAATAATAATTAGGATCCACACCATGTAAGAGCGAAAACCTGTCGGCTGTTTACAGGAAAATTTTCTTACGGCCTCCTCGCTGTTGACCTTCAGTGTGAACCCATCAACATTACACAGAGTGATTTCACTGGTACATAGCATCATCAATAGGTAACTAAACAAGGGTACAAACTCATGAATGATTGTCAGGATTCTTAACTGTAAATGTTTTTCTACATGACTATGACGATGACATACTGAGGCATAAACATGGTCAGTGACAGCATATTGAAAGCACAAATATAGATGAGAACATAAGAGGTAATCAAACTAAACACTAAATTAACAAATCATATGTAATGTGATGCAATACTGTGATGTCATATAATGTGGTGATGTCATATAATGTGGTGTGTGCCTTCTGTCAGAGTCCATGACTCCTCGGAGTCATCCCGCCGACCCTCTCGTTGAATTCATACCTACACTGTGCTGCAGCATTAGAAGTTCATCTTCTAGTTTCCATATTTCTCTGAGTTCATTTCACAGCTCTTACTCATCTGCTTCTCCTGCACCCAGAGGATCCTCAGGATCATCCATGTAGGCAGGGATGGGGAACAAATCTGGATATCTCTCTCCATTCTCTGCCTCCTCCTTCCGATCAAGGTGGATTTGCGCTATTTGTCAGGGTGTCGTGACGTTCAACGTGTGAGCCCATTGGAGACCAGTCACTAGAGTCAGCTGTTTGTCCAGAGCCCTCTGGCACTGCCTCCTCAGCATGGGGATGATGCAACATGCCAAGAGGAAACTAGTATTCGAACTATCAATGCACTGATTCCTGCTGTAGCCAAAACGTCTCCCTATTTCCCTAAAATTTGGTTGAACCAATCCCAAGACACAACCCCCTTACCAGCACTCTCCCTAAGTTCCACTCTCAACTTTGTGAGCTTTTCCATAGCCACAGAAAACATACCATCCGGTGCAGTGTTATTAGGCAACACTATTTTCCAAACATGCGTCAAACTCTTCGTCTGCCTGCTGTTAGCCAGTCCAATATCTGTCTGTTTTGATGAGTCATTGTGCTTGTTGCATGTAATTGACTTCCAAATGCTTTAAGAATCTCAGATGTGACATTAGCATACCTCTGCTGATTGTAGTAAACATAGTTTATCCATTGAACATTTTAATTAATGGTAATCCAGAAACGTATAGATTCTAGTCCAGCTCGGACCTCGTCTTGTGCTTTAGGAGAACTTCAAGGTGCACATGAGTTGTTGGCTGTGACTGACCCCTGTCATATACAGATTCTTTGTTTTGAGAGAGCCCAAAAAACCCAACCACGTCTCAGCACACAGTGAAAACACGTTTTTTTTTTTAATCACTGAGAATCAAAGTCTCCTACCTTTAAGTTTGCAGGCTCATAGCTTTCAGGCCCCCTGCAAAACTGGCTGGCTCGCCACTTCTGTTGAAAACACAACTCGATGACATGAGGTCAGTTCACAGCCATTAGCGTGTCGTTTATTGTTAACACAGCTCACAACTTCTCACACCTCCCAACAATAAGCACCCCAGAACAGTTCCACAAACATTCTTATACTCCTCCCTAGACGGACATCCTACCGAACTTTCTGTGTGTGTGTGTGTGTGTTGTTTTGGAACACTCTGCTTTCATTATCCTGCCCCATTGAAAGTTGCTTAATGGGATAGTGCAGCCAAAAATGAAAATTCAGCCATTATCTACTCACCCATATGCCGAGGGAGGCTCAGGTGAAGTTTTAGAGTCCTCACAGCACTTGCAGAGATCCAAGGGGAGAGGAGGTAGCAACACAACTCCACCTAATGGAGGCTGACAGTCTTAAACAGAGGCAGTCAGAGCTACAGGCTACAATGAGGCTAAAAACAGAGTTCAAATGAAGTTTTTCCAAACAACTTTTTATGTCGGGGCTTCAGGACACTTGGATCACTACGGACGAGCAGTATGGAGATATTTTGTGGTTTCAATGATGTGTTTTTGGACGTTTGAATCTGGGGCGCCGTCAGCCTCCATTAGGTGGAGTTGTGTTGCTACCTCCTCTCCCCTTGGATCTCTGCAAGTGATGTGAGGACTCTAAAACTTCACCTGAGCCTCCCTCG